TATATATATATATAATTTTATTTTTTTTATCATTTTAATTACATTTTATAAATGTTTAAAATATCTGATTTGTTATTTCATTAGATTTAATAATAAACTGTAGTGAATCCAGACATTTTTTTTCAATTCATTAATAAAAAAGCATTGCTGATTGCTGCTGATAAACCTCACTAAATGTGCGCGAGTTGAGGAGATTTGAAGCGTCAGAGCATTGGCAGCTCATGAGCGATTGGGTTTGTCAGTGTTTGGCCCTCTCGGGGTCTGCATCTCTGAGTCACGTCTTCTCTCGTCAGCACATGGAGGAAGTGACTCTGCCTTTGAACTCGGGAAGGATAAAAGAAGGCTTTTAACTCTGGGTTGCTGGCAGAGAGAGGTAAAGCCAAACTCAGGTAATTTGCTGTCTTAAAGAAGCAATTCACTTGAAAATGGCAATTCTGTATTCATCTCTTTCCAAACCTCTCTTCTGTGGAACCAAAAATATGCATGTTAAAGAACAGAGATTATTTAGTCAAGATGTGGAATATAGCTATTATAACAACTTTTATGCTGCTTTTTTATCACTAAAGTGGTCATTATAAATTGCAGAATGCTATGCGAGTTTGATTTTTGCTGGAAAGCTTTTGAGGGTGAGTAAATCATGACAGAAATAATATTTTTGGGTGAACTGTTTCTTTAAGGAAGTGCAAGCATAGGTCAGATGGAAATGACTTTCAAATGACTTGGACAGATGAGAAGAGAGATGTGTGGCTAGCATAAGTAAACGAAGATGCCTGGTTTATAACAGAGCGACGTGCATCAGTCTGGTGGTCTATGTGGTGGCAGGGATTTCTGGCCTGGCTTTGTTTATTTTCCAGCGGTGGGCAGTGCTGTTAGACTGCTGTGGCAGTGCAGACTGAAGGAGATCATATCACACACACACACACACACACACACACACACACACACTGCGGTTAAAGCCTCTTACGCTGAACCTCTGCCACGACGCTGTCAGGACGAGCCGATGCTAACCCTCTAATGATAGACGCATGCTGCCATGTGTTGACCTGCAGGGTGGTATACAGGACTGCTGGCGGGATGAGAGCTTGCCTAAACCCATGCAATCTGTGTATGTGCTCGGTTATGTGAACTTTGTTTCGACTGGACTGAGACGGGAACCATAAAGAATTAAGGTCAGATTTCTCTTAACGACTCTGCATCCATAATGGGTTCATTAACAATTATGTAAAATACTTAAATGTTTGGATAGTAGAAATGCTGTTTCATTGTTCATTTTAATAATAAATCAATTGTAAACAGTTCTTGCAAAGGGTGTGTACACAGATTTAAAAAAAAATCTTTTTACTGGTGGCAACTGGCAAGGCAGCAAACTACTAAACAAACAGAAATGTAGCAACATATTTTATTTACGTGTCATAAAATGCTACTGATACATCTCGTAATGTGCCTCTTCGACTGCACGTTGGCATATAAACAACCAGTCAGCAAATATACTGATTTGAGTCTCGCAGTTAAGTGTTTGATTCACTTAGAAGAATTGATTATTTCTGTAAAGTCTTTTCAAAGGTGGCAATCCAACAAACTACTAAACCAAGAGTCGGGAAACTTTTTGGACTAAAGAGGTTTTTTTGTCCCCCATTTCTGGTAATGCATTTTTCCAAAAGAGCCACAGTAAAAATTATGAAAAACTTGTATTTTTTTTCTTTCAGTATATATCAATATATTATCTATTTATTGGTCTGTTTTAATATAGAACGTTGTCTATTTCGGTTATAATGCAGGTTGTTATTGTTTTGGTCAATGTCTGTTTGTCATCTGAAAACCAGTCATAAGTCACTGGGGTATATTTGTAGCAATAGCCAACAATAAATTGTATGGGTCAAAATTATCGATTTTTCTTTTATGCCAAAAATCATTAAGTTTCATGTTCCATGAAGATATTTTGTAAAT